GCAGGCTGTCCCTCTCATCCATTTCTTCGACTTCTTGTTCAACTGATTTGTACATTTCGTAAAGAAGTTTACTGTCCAAGCAGAGTAAAAACAGATTAAATTTATGGCAGAATACATGAAACTGGGCACACATGTCTTGCAAAATTTGACAGTCGACTTACTGGTAACTTACTTGTTTATATGGGCCTGAAATGAGGAATAATACTGTTCGTGGCTATTATTCCTTGTCTCTCACGTTATTTGGCACGGCTTCTACGAAACCAACCAAGGTGAGCGTAATCGCAAGCACAGTAAGGACCTGAAAGCCTTGCAGAACCGCAAACATCTGAAAACTATCTATGTTAAAACGCCGATTTACATGTGATTTTTCGCTCAAAGATTACGAATATGGTGCCAAAATAATCAGTAGATCCCAGACTTTCCCAACCATCCATACATGTAGAAGACTGTACGATATTTTCAAAGCCCTATTTACGTGGATTTTTTTTTCATTTCTCGGATATGTTTTTATATTTATAGATAGACTAATAGCTAAATGACTTAAATCTGTGCGTACATCTGATAAAAGTAACTGATAACTTTGTGTAATTTTGCATTTTCCTCAAAAATTTCGCCATTTTTATAAATATTTTGGGTTAAAATTCGGGGGCTGGGGACGAGTATAAAAATTTGAAGCAAATGTCACCCAAATTTTATGCCGTGGTTTGTTTTTTATTTGTAGAGTTTCTTTTCTTTGCAGCGAGTCCCTTGTGGGCCATCGCATTTTGGAATACGGTTCGGTAAGAACGTACTCGCGATTGCATTTCAACTCGAGCTCACACCTTTTATTTGCATGATCTGCGCTAAAGTCAAACATAGCCGCGCAGACTGGGGTAAGGCGGGGTATTGGTTTCTACGAAACCATTGAGAAATCTCAGGTGGTTCGCAAAGGAAATGGTTTGTTTTCTTTGAATAGATGCAAGTCTACGTCGAAAATGTCTCATATCTCATATGTCTCAAAGCTTCTGACGCTGGTGAAAACCTTGGAGCCAGACGAGCGGTTAAGATTCAAACGACCTAAATAACCGTCACATTACCTTGCGCGAGGTTGATAAAAAGACTGCGCGCGCCAGTGCTGGGCCTTTTAGAAATTTGTTTGATAAGATTTGCATCAGAAATCTATAGAAGAAGTACGCTGTGTCAGATATTTAAAAAATTACAACAACAAAAAAATCAACCCACAAGATAATCCCGTAAGCTCAGGCGTCGCATTCTCCGCAAAACCGCGCAGCAATCAATCACGTCAATTATCAATAGGAACTGTTTCTAAGTCGGTAATCAACCTTTATGACGTCACATTTCCTTCACTTTTCTTTCGGAGAGCCTCGCCGTTTTTTTGCAGCGATGATTTCCTAGAAAAATTGAGATGAAAGTGTTTTGGATCCTGATTTTTGCTTTTGCGGTTGCCGCACTTGGCAAAGGTTAGTTGAATCCCTGCTTCATTTGCGTAATTATCGAAATTCTAAGCGCTTTCTGTTCACTTTGTTGCTCGAGTTAAATGCATACAGACGGAAACGTGTTGCCGGAACAGAACATTTAATAGGCATACAAGGCGCGCTTTATCGCAATCTTGAAAAATTAGGTTATGTGTTTTGAAAAGAGTTGTGCAGGTTATGGATTCTTGATCTGAAAATCGGCCTCGTGGCAACTCTTGCAATGCGCGAGTTTGGTGCATTTCGCGGTTCTGGTCTTGAGTTGTTTTGTTCCTAGATAGACTATTAGAGCAATTTTTAGCCCACCCATCTCAGTGATAACTGAAATTCAGGCAACTACAACAAAAAAGCTAAACAATAAAAATTAGGCGTGAGAATAGGTGGGCTAAAAAAACTAGCAAGTCGAGTCGCACTTTTTAATCTAAAAATCTAATCTACCTACGACTGAGGCCGAGATAGCGACACAAACATGATCTTTTTGTGGTATTTTGTCAACTGTTACGACCGTGATACATATTAGCTATTGCAATGTCATTACATCATATAGAACTTAACGAAAATCCTTGCATGTGTTTGTTTTATTTGTAGGAAATTCTCTACCATCAAGAAGTCTCAAAGAGACAAGCAGTATCCCTGTGTCTCCATTGAAGCGTGTTCAGAACAGGCTCTATGACAGCACAGATGATTATTTTGGAACTAGCCAATATACCAGTGGAACAACATCTACCCGTGATGGGATTACCGACGGCGAAGAGCCATCCCTTCAAGCTAAATTGAAGAAATCGTTTAACATCGGAAAGAAACTTTTGAGGAGAGGAGATAATCTACTAAAATTATTAAAAAAAGTAAAAAAGGTAAGGTCAGATTACGAGCTTAGGGGCTTATCTTCCCAGAGCTTATCCCAGCTTCTGTAGCGTCAATCTACTCGCAGTATTGTCACACCGAGCAGTGTCCCCCTCCTCTTTCCCGGGACACAACCCAATGACACTGTCATAGTTCAAGCTGGAAGCATTCGATCTACGGACATG